CCCCCCCCCGAAAAAAACCCAATCACCCTGCAAAACACCCCCAAAAAAAGGCTATATAAAAATAGAGTGTTTTGAGAAACGTCGCGTGGGGGGTTGGGTGTGTTTTTTGGGGGTTGGGGGTTTTTCGTGGGTTTTGGGGAGGTTGGGGGGTTTTGGGCCTTTTTTTTTTTTGGTTCTGGGGGGATTGGGGGGCATGTGTTTTGGTGTTATTCTGGAGGGGGGGTTTTTTGGGTTGTTTGGGGGGTTTTTAACCTGTTTTGGATCTTTTTTTTTGTACAGACAAGCCCTTCATGATCATCACGGAGTACATGGAGAACGGCGCGCTGGATAAATTCCTACGGGTAGGTGAAGCGTGGCGGCAACGTCCGCCCCCGGGCAAGGATTACCGGGTGGTGGAACCACCAAAACCCACCACGGAAGGTGGGACGAGAGATGGATTTGAAGCCGGATTCTTCCCTTTTCCCAGGAAAAAGAGGGGGAATTTGGCGTCATCCAGCTGGTGGGGATGTTGAGGGGCATCGCTGCCGGCATGAAGTACTTGGCCAACATGAATTACGTCCACCGGGATCTGGCCGCCCGGAACATCTTGGTGAACAGCAACCTGGTGTGCAAGGTGTCCGATTTTGGGCTTTCAAGGGTGTTGGAAGACGACCCTGAAGCCACCTACACCACCAGTGTAAGTGCCACCAAGGTGGGGTGGTTGGCCGTGGCGGGTTTTTGGGGTTTTTTTTGGGGGGTGCAGAGTTGAGCCCAATGTTGTCGCAGGGTGGGAAGATCCCCATCCGTTGGACGGCACCCGAAGCCATCTCCTACCGCAAGTTCACCTCCGCCAGCGACGTCTGGAGCTACGGCATCGTCATGTGGGAGGTGATGTCCTACGGCGAGCGACCGTACTGGGAGCTCTCCAACCACGAGGTGAGCGTCCACCCGCCTCCAACCCCAATTTTTGGGGGGGTTCTTGCAAACGGACAGCTTTTTTAAGGGAGCGCCGCCCAACCTTCCTCCTCCTCGTAGGTGATGAAGGCCATCAACGAGGGCTTCCGCCTCCCCGCCCCCCTGGATTGCCCCTCCGCCATCTACCAGCTGATGATGCAGTGCTGGCAGCAGGAGCGCAGCCGGCGCCCCAAATTCGCCGATATCGTCAGCATCCTCGACAAGCTCATCCGCGCCCCCGAGTCCCTCAAGGCGCTGGCGGACTTCGACCCCCTTTTTCCCTAACACTGTTGCCTTGAAATCACCATTGGCTTACTGTCTTGATGTGGGTTGGAGAGGAGAAGACAGACATTCTCTGGCACCCAGGATAGCCAAAATTTTTTTTTTTTTTTTTTTTTTGCATCGTTTTGGGCAGGTTTGCATTCTCGCGCTCCTTTTTGCATCTTGGCGTGCTCGCCTTGCTTTTTTGCGCCGCTGCATTTTTGTGTTTGGTTTTTGCACCGCTGCATTCTTGCG